TCATATGAAAATGAAATAACTTGAACAAAATTTTAAGCCAAGAATTCAGATTACAATCATACTGCCATCTAGAGGTGAAATACACCTGATCTTTTGTTTATGCTAAGTGAATGAAATATAGTTTTACAGTTAAACATTGCTCAAATGGTGAACTGGATAATGTGACTGATCATCTGAGCTAACTGTAGATTCTAGATGTAGATTTTACAGCTTGTAAAATAAGGTAGAAGAAAGATTCTTGATCTAATTAATTTAATGGTGTTTACACTAATCCAAGAATAAAATTCTATGCTACAATATGATTGCCAAAGCTGGCAACAATGCACTGAATTGTAAATGAATATAAAAGGTACAAGATAATTATATACTGAAATATGATTTTGACACAGGAATTTAATTATTCACTTTGACCACAGGGAGTTGGACAAACTTATGTATTTTAATAAATTATTAAATAATAAAATGTTATATAACTTTTCTTTTACCCCCCCCCCCCCTCCTGGTATCGATTTCAAGTAATCACTGATCTTTGTTTATATCACTCTTTCCTTTATCACAACCTTTGTTACGCGCTAATGTTATATGCAAATTTTAACGCGTGATGTAGACACACCCTATTATAGTAAAATATCCCAAGGGTTGAAATGCGCCAGGACTGTGGCATAAGCATAGATACTGTGGAATACTTTATTTTCGCTGGAATCAATTTTCGCTGAAAAAGCTTTTTGGGGCGTTTTGTATGGAGTTTATTTTTACTGATTTTTGATGAGTTTAATGTGAAATGTAGGAAAAAAGTGTGTATTCACTGGATTTTATTTTCACTGAATCATTCCTTCAGCGAAAATAGTGAAAATAAAGTATTTTACAGTACATAAATATGAAATACAAATCAGAGAAATTATTCATAAACAAGTCCCTGTCCAATTTTTAATGACTGGAAACATTAGTGATAAAAAATCATTTACACTCATTACTTGCATGAAAATGACATAAGTTATTTTGAATCAGATTCTGAAACAGATGCATGTGCAAATGTGTTACATGGTGTATGTAGAAAGTCTGAACATGTTGATGTGTGTATGAAGTTTGAATGAAATCGGCCCAGACATTATTGAGATACAGGGATTGATGGAGGCAAGGAGTTGTAATTATGAGTCCTCATTTTCAGACGTTCAAATGACGACTACAAAATATGACTATCTCTGTTGCAAGCGCATTTAAATTATTAAAATTTTGACCATGTGCATGTTAGGACAGTAATTCACTGGGGTTTTTGTTGACCAGGAATATCCGATCTTGCACATTTATGGCAGAGAAAAATAAACACAGAATGTGTAGAACGTGAAACTATCGTATTCATTTGATTAGCACCCAAGGTAGTCAATTCACAAGATTGTGTTTTAGGGGTGGGTGCTTAGACGAGCACCCAACTCAAAAAATTGGCTGAAAGAAAGAATTTCATTCATTAGGGTGAATAGAACATCTTAGCCGATCAGAATGCAGTTTTGTACAACATTCTATGGGAATTCCCAAGACATTCTGGTAACGCAATGTGCGGTAACTATCAATGTTGAAGTATGATCTGTTGAAATTGAATTCGCCAAAAAATGGGGTGGGTTGGACGCCCAGTCAAGCAGGGACGCCGAGTCAGGCAAATATGGTGAAATACTTACCTTATTGACTTCCCTTGGATCATCAGATTTGAAATGTAATAACGTGACTTCACAGTCATCTGTTAATGGTCTCAACATATCCCATAATTCACCATTTACTAATGCTAATGCCGATCTGTCTCGGTAAAATTTATTGAAATCTGAAACAAATATTTTATGATTTAATTACAAGATGTAAATTAATTTTGATCAAAAATAAAATGTAAATGGCATCAACACAGACCAACTTTAGTTTCATCTACGCTAGGTACCATAAAAACTATTAATATGTGCAAAAAAATAATATTAAAACTATTTTTTTTATGATGTTCAAAACAAATATTCAAATTTGTGTGTTTTTTAACTTTTTAATACAAAACTTATCACACAAATCTTTGTCAAGTGAAATGAAAAAAATAGCTGTAAAATATGACATCACTTGACGTATGCATGCGTCATCTTGCATCTCCAGCGATCACCGACTGATCACAGTCAATGCGATATAATTAGAAAGCATCACTGACAGCTTGAATGACTTGTGCACCATTGAAAAGTTGAAATTTCATTACTACCATATAAGAATACCATACATGACCCAATGAATGAATTCACAACTTTGGTTTGATAGATTTGATTTCAAGAACCGTCTGTGTTTTCAGACAGACACTTCATATTCTGTCTGGTTTTGACAACCTCATGCCCCATGTTGCAAATAAGCTCGTGCATGTATGTTTGTTCTTTCCTGTAATTCACTCCATTGTATTCTCTAACTTAAACAAAGCACTAGTGGCATTTATTTCACCTTGTATGCAAAGTAGGCATGTTAAAAATAATGTGAGTGGGACAGTGCTGGCAAAAATCGAAACTCGACGGTTTTGAAACACGTTTTTCCGGCAAAAGTAAATGGTCTAGCTGTCAAATTCAATTTTTATTTATGGCTTCCCTGAACATTCATGGCGTCACTCAAGTTTGAAAAATAGAAAATTAATGCAATGAACCACTGTTTCTCGTGTTTTTGTTGAGCTTTTAGACACCGTTGTTGATGTGGGTGAGGGTGACTTCATTTGAATAATAAAGTCGGCCTGTGCCTGTTTATATACCATGTCGGTCTTTAACCCTGTGTTAATATAAACTTGCCAGATTTTGAATTTCTGATTGTTTTAAAATTATTTTAACAACAAGCTTGTATTATATTTTTTAGGGTAAACTATAGAGTATCTCATTTTTTTAATGTCCATATTGGTCATAACTTTGTCAGTGTTTTTTTGTTTTGTTTTGGTAGATTTGCATAATTTCTACAAAGCTCTACAGCACCAACACTTTTACACCACCCAAATTCTTCATAGCCAACAGGGGAATGTATTTATTTGGTTCAAAAATTAAAGAAATGCATAAAATATAGGTAATATGTTGTACTGAAATTCACAAAATAGATAGTCCTGTTTATAAGTCTGCACTTTCCTTTTTTGAGTAGAAACTGAAAATTTACTAAAATTTTGTCTGTTGGCCCTAAAATTAGGATTCATATTCAGAAATATTGAAGAAAAACATGCATAAAACTGAAAATACAATAACAAAATAAATACCAAAACACCACACAAGTATTTGTAAGTATTTGATGGTCTGAAATTGTTTAAGAAATGTGTACAAATTTGGTCCACAGTAATCGAAATGGTAAATACACAAATACATCCCAAATTTATAATTATCCAAAGATCAACATCTCCATGATCTATATGAAACTTCAAATGTTAAAATACAACAATGTCCTAGAATGGGATGTTTCTAAAATTATTCCTATATCAGAACTTTGTTGAGAATTTAATTAGCATAGCTCAATAATTAATCTCACTGGATTATTCGAAGTGTTAGTAAAATTCATAAAAGGAGAGCCAGAAATAGCAAACCTTTCCCGCATACATACGGTGGTACATGTATAATGTAATTTTCAGGAAAAAAAATAAAACAGAATTTACTATATTTTACTACATTTGCTAATGACAAAAACAGCATAGATGTAGATTACAAGTTATCTTTGGTGGAAAAAAGTCAGAACATATTAAACAGACTCACAAAAAACCTAGTCTTCATCTTAGAATGCACATTGCACATGCTCAGTAATGTAATGACTTGAAAATAAAGAGTACTGTGAAATGATTTATGTTAGCTGGAATTAATTTTCACTGAAAAGATTTTTCGAGTGTATTATATGGAGTTTAATTTCACTGATTTTTGACGAGTTGAATGTAAAACATTGACAAAAAGATGTATTCGCTGGATTTTATTTTCACTGAATCATCCCTTCAGCGAAAATAGCGAAAATTAATTACAAGCGTAAATAAAGTATTTTACAGTATTGTATAGACAGATACATATTTAATTACTTACGCATTGCAATATTGTACGGCGTTGATAAACCTTTATTCATGATAAGTTTACATGGATTTATGTCATCAACATTTTTAACTTGTATTTTCTCAACTCTTGTTACCAGTGCCATCTGTCTTTGTTTCTCATTCTCAAATATCTCATTTCTCAGTGCTCGGACTTCAGAATTTGACAGAGTAGTTTTACTGCAATACCCTCCTGCAACATACGAAAAATGTATTCAAGTTAAAAAAACTCAACTGAAAAAAAAAATTGACTGAAAACACTTTTGATAAAATATATCATTACTATTGAAAAAGGCACACATGAACCCTGATGCAGGAAAGAACGACCCTTAATCCTAACACGCCTGTCCCCCAATATATGCCCCTCCAGATAACTATACGTGTCCTAAAGAGGATTAGCCAAGAGGGCATATTGAATTACATTGGGGGCTGCAGTGTTAGGGATCAGGTAAGGGGTGAGGCAAGACAATAATTTGCATATTCGCTTTAATCAGTTTTGATGAAATTAATCCAAATAGCCATTTTGTTATGGATGATTGACGAATGATAGAGGCGTACTTAATATATAAACATAGTCTGGAAATGGACAAAACTTAGGAAGCACTAAGCCGAATCAATCATTTTTCAGTGTTTTGTTTTGGCAAGGACAGGTTTTGAAACATCGTATTATTTACTAAGAGTTATACTTACGAACAGTAAACAACTTTGAAAAGTCCCTGAAGACCCGCCTACTGCACATTTTTAGTAGATATGTGCGTTTTCTTAGTGAATGTCAACCACAACACCATTCACACATGTGGGATGTTATCGTATTTGACCCCAGAAGTGACCTCTTGTCCAGCCTCTGTACTAGAACGATTTCAATAAGGCTAGGTCTTTCCGGTACATTGTGATAGTTCAAGAGCTATAATGTTAGTACTTCGTCATACTTTAATAATTTATTATTGTTATCTGTTTTTATATTTATATGTTGGAATCTACACAAGTTATTAGTGTTTGTAAACGTTCCTATTGCATGAGGATGGAAACTTGTCCCTCAGACATTATACGACAACCCCCACGCGTAATATTATAAAGATCCATTTGTATTTCCGGTTTCCTTCAAATCTCGCAAAGTCTCGCAATTTCTCGTGATTATTCATGTGATTGTCATGGTGACGTTGGCGTAAATAAGAGTCTCCCATTGGTAACTCGGTGTCGAGCAGCTCCAACCATCATAACATTGCAATCGTTGAAAACACGACTATTATCATAATTTTAGCTGAATTTACAGATATCAGGCAACATGGTGAGTTTCTTCTATCTGTTATGCTTTCCCAAGCAGCGTTTGTCGTGGAAAATTCAACTATTTGTCGTCGAATTCGTAACGTTTTGCCAAACATCCAAACCGTGTTTTTTTACCCCATACACCGTTTTTAATATGTCGGCGAATAAACTAGGCCTACATCATAAAAACCTTAGTTCTTAAACCGACCTAAACCATCACTTCTTCGTGATCTATGGTCTTTTCGAAAGCATGGATAGCTTTGTTTTAAAATCGATTATTTACATGTCAAATTTCGACGCCGAAAGTCGATCTCCAGACAAATCGTTCCAAAATGGCTGACTCCGCCACCTGGATGGTGAAATAAGTGTCGATTTATTTTAGTCGCAGCTTTACTCATGATTTTGTGATTGAATATTACATATATATGTGGGATCCATATAAACGCGTGTGAATTATTAACCATCTCTCATGACAAAAATACAATATTTCATTTTCAAATTGCATAAATATTACTGTAACTTTGCCTGAATTTGCTTGGTAACTTATATGAGACTCTACAAAATAAGGTGACAGTGAAACAATGTTCATAATGTCATGTACAGTGAAACAATGTTCATAATGTCATGTACAGTGAAACAATGTTCATAATGTCATGTACAGTGAAACAATGTTCATAATGTCATGTACAGTGAAACAATGTTCATAATGTCATGTACAGTGAAACAATGTTCATGTACATGTCATGTACAGTGAAACAATGTTCATAATGTCATGTACATCTTATTCAGGCTATCAGAAACAGCATCTGCATAGTAGTTACATGTATATCAGCACCAAAACGAACTTGGCACCAAAGTGTACTGTAGATCGCGGCAACACAATACATTTATCCATACAGTTAAAATATAAATATGTGTGTACGTACTGCATACAAGAAAAGTTTAATTAAATATGCTAGTGGTGCAAGCCTTGCTACTGTAATTTCTGCGTGATATACATTTGTATCAATGATCAATTTAATACACTGTAAAATTGTGGCGAAATGATTGTACACGAAATGTGTATTTTATTTCAGACTTTTACCATATAAAAATAAATTATTGGCTAATACTTTGCTCATATACTATTTTATGTTTTCTTCCTCAGCCCCGCAGTGTGGTTAGTTCTGCTGGAAGCTCTTCTGGGGGCTCATCAGCATCCCGTAGAGCCAGAACTCGTCAGTATTACACTGTCAATAGAACCTCAGATGTTGATGAATCACTGTTCGGTTCACCGCATAAAGACACCCTGATTAGACAGCGGAAAGAGAAGGAACACACTGAAGACATCTTTGAAACCAAACCAGCATCTGGTAAAACTTCAGGTCGACGAGCAAAGCCCAAAAAGAAAGAAGAGGTACAAGTTATAACTAAAGATCTTATTCGTAAATTAATGTAAGTACATGGATTGGCTGTATGTGTAGTAAAAATATTAACTCATTCACATACTAGTACTAGTAGTATAATTTATATTAATATAATGCTGTCTTTCTCCTGCAATGCTGTTGGTTGAGAGAAAAGGGGTACTGGACATCTCAACCAAAAAAAATCTGTTTTTCATTGGACAACTCGACCCAGTACCACTAAACATCTCAATCCACTGGGCAGGGACTGGTTCGATCAGGCTCTCTGTGGCCGATGTTTCAAATCATTAGATGACCATGTCAACCATTCCAATACAGCACGATGTATATTTAGTTTTCAAGGGCGACACTATCAATGTTGAACTAGATAGAGGTTTGCATCGGCGCATTGAGATAGGATTGTGTCGATGCGGTAGGTCAAGATGTCCAGGGTGTTTGGGTCGAGATGTCCAATTTGGGTCAAAGTGTCTTGGGTCGAGGAGAAAAGTGTACCGGTAATTCCACATTCTGTCATAAATTACACAGGGTATTTATTATAATATGTATGCATTTTGTTAATATATGCATATCTGTTATAAATTATTGCCCGTCTATATTTCACACATTCTTGTACAATCCAATACTAAAGCTGTAAGAATTATCGCTGACTTTTTAGTGCTATTACAGTTAGTGAATGGAAACTGAAAAAGTTTTTATTTTAATTTCAGTGTACCAAGTGAAGATCCATCAGGTCAGTCATGTATCTTGGGACGGTCAGAGTATTCAAGAATCTTAAATGCTGCCAGAGTACTCACAGATGAAGAACGTGAAGCCATGTTTGGTAACATCAAAGAAGAAAAAGATGCAATGCTGGTAAGTGTCCAGCTTTTCTATCTTTACTAATGTCTCCAGCATTCGTCAGTAAGGACTGAAAACAATGATGGTTGAGGTCTGGGGACTGATAGTTATTCCAGTGAATCATCATAATAATTAGACCTACAGACTAGTAGGACTTGAACTTCATTATTTTGAAGGCACTCTTATTCAGGGACCATGCTTCTGAAAATGCTTTGAAATATTCAGTTAGTAAGGGGCAACTAGGCAATAGAATTTGTGACCCTGAACATTGAAAATTATAAAACTATTGGCTGCAATAGTTCGTTCTCATTTGTTGATTGGTACCATGTGCTGTCTAATTATCAGATACTACCATAGCTGAATAGTGCTCGAGGACATATTTTAATATTTTCAACATTTTGGGGTTTTGTTATTGAAATGTCAGACTCCGTACCACTTACTATCATGTGATATCAGGGCTCAGACAGGAATGTTCACCTGAATAATAGGCTGGAGAGCCCATTACTGTGCACATCTGTTATCACACAAAAAATCATTGTTGAGTGTGCACCTTACTTAAAGTTAGAATAGAAATATTTTCCGACAATATGCAATGTAGTTGGTGTAAATATCCTATTGTCAGATATCCATGTAAAATAATATAATACATAGACTCTATGTCATAAAGAATAGTTAAGTATTATTCAAATACTACTAATCAAAGTTCATTGTCTGAATGTCTGTTTATATTGAGTAATTATTAAGTAACTATTACTACTGGTATTACCATTTTCTATATAGATGTATTGTTCTGAAACTTGCATTTTGACTCAATGTCCATTCGTAATTGATCTGTTAAAAAGCACACTAAGCCTTCAGTGAATCTTAATATACTATTATTCATGCCATGACAGAACTTGAACTTCAAAATTGAGAAGGCACCTAATTCTAAGGTCAAAATTTGTAAAAATGTAGGAATAATATGTTTTTCTAAGGGCAAAAAGGGAATACATTGGTCATCAAGGCAAATATTGCTATTTATTTTCTATGTCAGCAGCTACTTCAGTTGTGAGCCGTAGCTGACAGGATTTACACTCTGCATAATCTAATTTTTTATTGCAGGATGCACACAGTATATGTTTACTTTGATTTGACATTGTATTTATCATTTATTCAGTATTATTTACTTGCAATTATCACCCTTTGATGCTTTTGTCAACATAAAGCCCTGTATCATCAAGACTATATTTGACCTATTACATATGTGTAGTTAAATTCACCAGGTGTTTATACTGTTATTTGCAGGATGCTGTCGCAGAACGTAAAAGATTCATACAAGAAATGGACCGCAGTAGAAAGAAAAATGAGAAGTTATCAGACTTAGATGAGGAGGCCAAACGGCAGGCTGAGTATCTTTTAGAGAAGGCCAGAGAACAGAGAGAAGAACAAGAAGATGAAATTAAACATCTCAATGAGGTAGGCAGGCTATTAAAAATTTGTAAAAGTTTACCAGTACATGTACAAGTTCACATGCTTCATATTTCAATTCATGAGAAATCTCACTGAACACAAACCAAAATGATTTAAGTTTTGATTGTTGATATAAACTAATGCATTTTGTGGACACATGTTTGATTACATTCTTGTTTTACTCTAGACTCATTCCACGGGGTGTTATTATGTTAACACTCAGACTAGAAATACAAGAGACTCGCAACGCCTATTGTTTAAGGTGTTAATCGGCTTAATTGCATATGCTATGCGTGCCACGCTCTGTAGCATTGGCATAGACACCGTCAAAGTTTACCGAGCACTGGATATTCTGCACACTTCGCGCTCCTAGTCTGAGGTTAACATAACTAAGACTTTGAAGCATAAAACAACAACATTGCACTGACTATCATAAATAATTGTTAAATCCCCCGACTGTCAATCAAACAAACTGGCTGATTTACAGATCATACTTACACATATCATCTTTCAAATAGCTACTTGATAGTGCCAACTATCATCTTGGGGGGGGGGGGGATCTGGGGACGTAACTTTTTGAATGTCAAATATATTCTAGATGTGTTTCTGAGTTAAAAGAATAAAAAACACTGCATGTATATGCGTGATTCACCTTGGGACTACATGTATATGTTCAAATAAATGAGATTTCTCATTTTCATAGTCATGGGGCAATCAGACACATATGAGCTAACACTGTTGCAGGATTGACTTTTGTTTTTATGTTAGTTAGTGGTCAAAAAGATATGTTTTAACCCATAGTCAAGGAAATGTAAGTAAATGTCTCTTATTTATCTGACAGCTTATCCTGAATGCCAAGTGCCATGCAATTAGAGATGCTCAGATCTTAGAGAAGGGGCAGGTGAAGGAAGAGATGACAGACGAGGAGAAACGCCTTGACCTAATGATGGAGGTCGACAGACAAAATGCCCTGAAACTACAGGAAGAGATTGAAAGCCAACGTAAAGAGGAAAGATTGGCAGGGAAACATGTTATCCTGACTCAGATTGCAGAGAGAGAGGAAGAACGACTTCTCGATCAGGAAAAGAAAGATCAGGAAGCACACCAGATGTTGAAATATCTTGAGAAATTACAAATAGAGGACTTGAAGGCTTTAGAAAGGAAACATGAACAACAATTAGAGTCACAGAAAGAAATTATGCGAGCGAATATAGAATCAGAGAAGACACGTGAAGTGAGAAAAGAGCAACAGAAACTGGAAGAGCAGAAGGTGGTGGAGTATATGAAGCAGAAAGCTGAGCGAGAAGCTGCATTTGAAGCTGAACAGGAAAGAAAGCGAATTGAAAAAGAGAAGGAAGTTGCTAGGTTGCGCGCAATGCAGGAGCGTGCTAAAGATTACCAAGCCGAGAAAGATATGCTGCGTGCAAAGCGAAATCAGGAACAGCTGGAAAGAGAATGGAGAAAGAAGGAAAGGGAGGAAGCAATGAAGAAAGCAGAGACTGAGAAGATGTTGAAGGATGCTCGTGAAATTCAAGTTATGAACAAAGAACACTTCCTGGCTGTGCAAGCTGCCAGAGAGAGGGCAGAGTTTGAGAGAGTATTACAGTAAGTGTTTATTTTTCAATTTCTTGAATCTCATTTCTTGAAATAATTGTATAATTTGAGTTCATCAAAGAAACAAGGACCCATCCACATACACAATTTGAAGGTACCGTAGTCAGTACTTTCTAAAGGTGCACATAACAAAGCATGATAGATTATCGGTAGGATGAGTGATGTGATATACATTTTTTGTAATGTGAAAATAAGATTTAATATAGTGGCAGTCTATTTGGGGATCAACATTGGCTACTTGGTGAATAAAACTAGGAGCATGCAGACTATTCTAAGAGCATGTGGTTTCTGGGTATGTAGTCATGTTTGGCTTCTGGGATTCACATGGAAATGCAAATTAAGTATGAATGTTACTTTTTAAATTGTAGAGCACAGAGAGAAGAGATGGATGCAGAGAAGGCAAAGGAGGAACACTTCCGGTATAGAAAGCTTGCTCATGCAGATGATGTGCGTAAACAGATCCGTGAGAAAGAACAATTGAAAATTGCAGACAGAGATTCATTCTTTGAGGAAGGAATTAAATTGGATGAAGAAGCTAGAGCTAGAAGAGCAAAATTGGATGAAATTAAGAAAAAGAAACTTGATGAACTGAGGTATGTTATTGTGTGTACTGTACTCATTTGTAAAATATCATGGAGTATTTCCACAATCCTAAAAAAGAAAATGAGAAGTGTTGAAAGTGGAACTATTGCTGAAATAATATTGAATACAAATATATCATTGCGTACACCTAGTATGTTAATGCATTGGTGTTCTATTTACCCAATACCGTGAGTAGTGATTCTGCTCGATTGCAATATTTTCTTAAATTTGAAATTTTATCATAATCTATAGTTATATGGTCATATACAAATCCAGAAAATACTGGCAGCCCAGGGAACAATCTATTGTTAGTGGATACAATATCACGTGGAGATATGCATATTTTTTATTTGCTAGTTTTGCATAAATTACACACTCACATGCCCTTTAAAATATACCGGTAAGCAATCAATATTGTATAGAAAAAATAAAATGCAAAAATTTGATTTGTACATGAATGTGGAAAATTTTTCTTGCCATTTACAATATAAAATTAACCGGGAACTTTTATTTTTGATATTTTCATCAATAACATGGAGACTCACTTGGTTCACACGGTCAGATTAATTGTATAATACACATCGTATCAGATATCTTCAATCTGGTGGAATACATCAGTTCAGTGCCTTCTACAGTGGGAATCGATTCAGCTCAACATTCTGCAACATTCTGTTTGTTTGGTGATTTAGTAACAAAATAATTGAAAGATTGTCAAATTAATAAGGATCTGTTGTCAATTATCTGGTGCTTATTTATCAACACTGGCAACAACTAGTGCATTTAGAGTAATCAAAATCGATTATGTTTATAATAGTCATTGGTTAAATTGTCTCTGGCTTTCTTTGAGTCGGGGTGTTTGCTATGTCAAAAAACTACATTATTTTGGCTCATGTGTAATTTTTCAATTATCGAATTGCACTAATTTTTGCTGTATGGCATTGTCAGATTTAATCTGAAGTAAACAATCTGATGGAGCACGACAGTTCCTATTATACCAGCCTTTCATTCCAAAGATTTGTCAGTAAGAACTGTTGCTTAGAATATGTACACTTTTTATAGTGGTTTTTACTAGATGTCACACTAACATATTACCTATTTGCTCTGTTTCAGGAATGCTGGTGTTCCCGAGAAATACTGCGCTGAAGTTGAAAGAAGGATAAATGCACCAACGGTTACGTTAGTTATGAAATAAGTCCCTTTCCCCAAATGTGTAAAAAAACTCAAATATATTTTAAAGACATTTCAATTTTGTTGATTTCACTACAAATGTATGTGAACAGCAAAAATTTGGTTGATTTTTTTAAGAATATTTCTGCGATATCCAAACTGTGTGAAATAAATTGTTGAGTTGTCTATATGCAGTAGTCATTGTAATTTAATTCGACTAAAATTGATATTTTTACAACTTATCGTACCTTCTGATTCATGACTGGGGCAATGGGACTCATCCCCCATCTGCTTTCAATCGTGCATTAACAATAAATAATCTACTTCTAGTTGTTTACATCATTTCCAAGTTGTTATTAGAATTACACGGTTTTATTTTGTAATATATGACGTGTAATTATTTCTAAGAGAAATGTTGATATGTGTAAATAATTTGTATAATATTAAACAGTTTGTTACCAAAATTGTCAATTGTTAACAATTCTTTTCCTTTATACCATATTTAGTACTAGACAACAATGTGTAAAGAGCAAAGTTATGTCTGTGAAGTTTTGAATATAAGTTCCCATTAACACTTTATTCAAACTTGATTGGGGTGGTTACATAATCAGCTGACTTTCAAACAGGATTTGAATATTTTGGGGTTTTTGCTACAAAATTTACCCTCTGATTCAAACCGTTGATTCAGTCTGCAGACTGGCATGATTTGCAAAAATGATCTATCCATCTCCACCGAGCATCTTTTAATTGTTCTCCATCCATAGCTGTACACAGTCCTCCGAAATCCCCATGGTAATTGGAACAAAGGTCGGAGTGATATTTGCCGGCGAATCAGGAATTTTTGTAGCTTTTTTTCTGCATGACATCTCAATTCCATGAGTCTGAGAAATTCATTAAATATTGCAGTTGTGATAGAAACTTTGTAAAGTGTGGGCCTTGTGTGTACTGTCGAATTGTGGACAGGAATTGTTACAATAGAGTATTGAATGATTGGAGTTTTGTAAACATCCAAGTCCGATTTTATTCCCCGCACAGATATACGTAGTTGCCATTTTTGTTTGGTATACTGCCCTCAACGGTTATTTATTTGCTGCGACAAGAGACTGCAGCAGAGTCTACTTTCGTCATCATCCGAATCAGACAGTTATGCTAAAGCCGACTATCCATGGCCGGCTTCTTGTTTGGAGATATTCATAGCGAACTAACTTAAGGCTTGTGTGAAATGTGTGAAATTTATTGTGACACGACTAATTAATATCATATTACCATGGTTTCGCATCTATCAAAATACAATTATTACTAGATGCCGAGTATTGCTTAAAAAAACCCATACAATTCATCATCTCATAAATTTGAAAATCAAATGAAATATTAAGAAACTAAAATACAAATTTTAATAAGCTTGGTGATAAAAATATTAAGTCTGTTTTTTTTTTAAATCGCGTATTGTGGATGGTTTCCTCTACACATGTACGATGGTTATGGTAACTAAAATAAATAAAATGGGGGCATAAGGTTAATTTGTCTGTATCCCATCACACATGACCAATAACATACTGAATGGATGGTTGATCATTCATACAGATCCACCTTCCTGGCCCTCAGACAGTACAATAAACTATTTTTATATGACAATCCTGAGACAGATAAAGGTGAATTTGCCAATTTCTATGGTGAATCGCATGTCATTATAATTTGATAATAATTGCAGCATCTTTTGAACAAAAGAATATTCGATGGAATATTGAGTTATATTATTGAAAAATCATTCCCGAGATTACTGTTTCCACGGTAACGGAATCTCTATCAACATTTAATGGATTATATCAAGGGTAACCTTTCCTTAAAATTCCTAGAGAATTTCCAGGGAGTGTTGCCTTTCACATGAAGACATTTGGGTCAATTACCGGTATATTTCATTGAATTTCAATAAAATTCTTAGAGATAACCCTTACCGTATGTACCAATCAGTTAGAGGTTGTCTGAGATGTGGTTGCCATGGAAACAATAATATTTTCACTGACTATTCCGTGTCAGATATCTAAATCAGTAAACGAAGGTTACCCGTCAGACATAAACCAAGCAGTGGGATTTACGAGAAATCCAGACCCAGTTGCTATGGAGACAGCATGAGTAGTATTTATACGTAGGAATTTACGATATTTTTGCTTGAACTCGAGAATGCGGTGCAATTCCTTTATATCGACGGAGATATTATTTGTAATGTCTACTGAATTATATAAAGAGGTTCACTGGTCGATATTTCATTTAAACTAGGGGGCATTTAATCTGTATAGTCAAGTGTATTCCTTGGATATTATTACAATTTCTTCATTAATAATTAATATTTCTTTACTATTTCTGTAAAAACCCTGCTTCACCTTCCCACAATCACAAATCTAACATTCCTGCATCCTAGTGTTAAATGATCCATGTCACCTAAAATTGTTTTTGAGAGATAGGGTGGCCAAAATTAGAATCCACTCCAAAAAAATGACGTAAATAATATATTTATGAATTTTTTTTTCAATTTTTATCTTAATTCATCTCTCGGTCAACATCTAAATAAAACTGGAGGCCGATTTGATCGCGTGATTTCGTGTCTGCTCATCTCTTTCAACATGGACATTCGATCATATGACATTGACCGAGAGATATTTCGCCAAAGGGTCAAGGTTAGGCTACTTCGGCTTTCTGCACTGAGGGTGTATACGAATTAAACAATCATCTACGAATTATGATTAAATTCAGTAGGTTTTATCAAAAAAATATTTACAAATTTACATTTTCTACATATCACGGAGAAAGTTCCCGCCAATGTAAATGTCCCGACAAAGCAGATGACATGACGTTACTTCTAGGTGATGTATCAGCCCAGCTAATCAGAGAAGATTTACTAAATATAAAAATGTCTGTGAAGACAGCTACGGCTATTCACGTAATAAAGGAACAACGTTTATAATACATTTCAAAAATATGATTAACTTTAAAAAAAATACTTTAGGTAAAAAAAATCGCTGTCTGCTTTACTCTTTGTTAATTTTAATTCCAATGAATAAAAGTAACATACTGTAACACTAGAAAACATACTTTTTAAATTATATTTTCATTTGATCTGATCCCCCTTTTCATCTCAACTATATACATTTAAAAAAATATTGTTACAAAATCAATACTCTATGTTGTTACAAAAATATTATTATTATAGATAATAGACACTAAAAGTAACAATCACAGTGGTTACACAATGTGACAAACAATGGACAGAAATACACGGAAGCTAGTAAATACTAAATAAATTGAAGTATATTTCCAAGTTCGTCACTTTTATCTATGATTTATATAATTTTGATAAGAAGTTTAAAGATCCAAAACATTTTTTCTTAGAAAACTGTCTGTCTGTCTGTCTGTCTGTCTGTCTTTCTTAGAAAAATAACAAATTATACCGCCACAACCTAGCATCTACCATTATTTCGAATTGTCTTTATAAATCAGTCGTTATCAGTACAGGTGAACTCATTAGAATAGATTTCACTGCTGACCAAACAAATTTTGCTCCCCTTTAAGCAAATCGGTCAAGGGACACGTCAATTCAGCAAATTTTGTGCAGAATTTACGATAATAGTCCACTATTTTTTTATTTTTTTTGCACGAAAACATGGTTTTAGTTATAAAATTACAAAAATACTATATGTGTATTCTTATCCTGGTGCAACACTTCTGAAATAAGCACCATCGATTCAGTCGTAGGTCAGATTGGTATTGTGTGTGTACATGGTAAAGCTCAACTCATCACAACTACATACATTTCATCATTTCCATTTAAATTATATTGTTTTTATAATATTACACTCACTTAAGTATTGCAGTGTATTATATACCTTAATAACATAAAATAGTATCTTATTAATACAAAAAAAAAATCGACAAAATGCAATGCGCTGCAGTTGCCACGCAGAGTGCATTCGAATTTCATGTGAGTCACGTGACGCACTGACATCTTAAACATGCATGTATGTATGCAATTACTACTAAAATCGAATTTCACCAGATAAACGCGTAATTAAATAATCCGCATATAATGCTTGATTTTGTACAGTGAACATCAAGTGTAAGAAAAATATACTTTTTGCACACAAATACCTCTCACCTCAGATATGTTAGTAGTAACTGTTCATTCTGAATATTTAGAATACGTCAACATTCAAATTTGTATTCTATGATGTCATGGGTGCACTAGTTCAAACCTTTTTTTTTATTATTGCTATTTTGTTAATTTACAATTAGAATAGTTTTTTTTTCTCTCAATTCTGTCTCAACTGGGTTCGTTACCACCAGGGTTAGCTGTTGCCACGACTACGGTCCATATCCACTAGACCTTGATCGACGACTTTCAGATCGGTGGCCGGGCTCGGAACGACTTCGTTGTCTGTCGCTATCTCTTGTGCGTCTGCGTGTCCGTCTCTCGGTCCTTGTGTACACATCCTGATTCCCGTCGTTGTCGGGATATCTCGCCTCAGATCGGGACCTCCTCTCGTTTTCCCGATCCTCTCGGCGTCTAGACCGACGTTCACCACCGTCATCATCACGCCGGCGACGTCGACGCCTACTTCGCTCGGTCCGGTCCCGATCTAAATCATCATATATATTATCTTCCCGTAACTTATCTGACACGCTGTAAGGGGGTGGAATGTCTAATGGCGTTGGTGGCAACGATCTATCTAACATAACAGCGTCCCCATCCGGATAAGGTCCCACAACTGGCTCCACTTGACGTTTCCTACGTCTACGATTATGACGCCCTCTACGTCCATCACTATGTATGATGTAATAATCATATTCGTCGTCTTGTCCGTAAGGTTTCACCTTATCCTCTTTGTTATAGCCGTTTCTTGCAGCTTCCTTCGCTTTCTCTGTTTCCCGGAGAGTTATTCGCAATTCCTCGTCTGTGTAAATAAAAAAAGTATCTTCAGTCACAATGTCTAAGATCCAATGACACCCTTCCATTGGACATTGGACAACTTATTTAGAAAAATACTGAAAACATATTATTCAACAAAGCCTAATGCGTGCGGTAACTCCCTCGGCGCCTTTGAACAGAACTTAGTTTTCGATCAAGGCGCTTTATAAATGTTTATGATTGATTGTAATACATGGATAATTTATTCAAGACCTCATAACAGAAATTGCACATAAAGCAATGACGTCAAAATGGTACCAACCTTCTCTTTCTTCTCGTCTTCTCCACACGCAATAAATAATGACACCAATAACAATAAGTACAACAATAACCAGCGCCACCAGCGCCACTATAACAGCGAGGAATGTGTAACTTACGCCAAAAATGGTTAATTCTAAAGAAAAAAAAGAAAAACATTAACAGTTTAGGCTGAGTAACAGCAACTCATAGAGGACGCTCATTAGATGGAGTTGTCGCAAGACGTTAACATTTTTTTCTTGTGAATATTTTTTTATTTATATTTATTCACTTTGCTTCAATCTCATTATTCACACCGCATATCTGAGCTAAATCACGTGCTTTTGTCAAAGTTTTGTAAACTTATTTTTTCACGTGTAATGTATTGCACATCTGACACATATACAAGTTGTTTATGACGTCATGACTTACCAACAATTTTAATACTGGAAGACATTGACCTTGAATCAACAGAACTTCGTGCATAGCAAGCAATGATGGCGTTGTCCATACTCTTCTCAACGTTCACAATATGCAAAGTAGATCCGCGGCTCGTGCTCTCTTTCTCAAATCTTTTATCCGTGTCGTTGATTCGGCTATGTTCGTAGTACCAATCGTATGATGTCACTTCCGGGTTGTCATCGATTGCTGTACCATTACACGTCAACGCTCCCTCACCACCCTCCTCTACTTCTAATATATCTGGGTAGATGTTGACGCTCACTCTCGGTACCACTGTCAAAAAGAAACAAAAATGTCGTTGTTGATGAGATGTCCATCATAGATGGGTATCCTAACCCTACTCGCAACCTGTTTTCAATGGATTGCCAGGCCTGCGCAGAGAACATGGGTAGAATATTTGCTAATGTTCATGCAATATATTTTCAAAAAAAATCGGATTTAAATACAATAATCCGGAGCATATCATGCTCTATAGTTTATATTGTTACAACATGTATTTCATGGTTGTTATTTGCCAAACGCTTTACTTTCTCCCCCTTAATTCTGTCCCGAAAACTTTGAAATAAGTTACTAGGCAAATGAGTGACGAAATAATGTGAATTAACTACTATTAATTTCACCATGAAAATACCAGTATTTCATGCACGGAAAATACAGCGTGTATCACAGATAAATTACAAGCCAGTGTTTATATCATTATATTATAACCAACATCATAATGTCTATGTTCTGTCTGGCATTAGAACATGAATGCTTACATTCGATATCCATGGGCCCAACACTGCACGTTTTCCCTCCGCTTACAGTCACGTGATTCAATGTGCACGTGAAAGTCTCTCCTTTATGAATTGGAAGAAGCACCATTTGAAGACCAACTCTTGTTGTACCACCGTGCGATGATTCTATCACTTTGCTGGGCAGATCGACTCCTCCCCTGCTCCATTGTAAGGTGGGGGCTGGATCGCCCTCTTGTGAACGGCAAATCAACGTAATGTTGTCGCCTTCTTTTAGTTTGCCTTGGGGCAACACGCACGTCGGTCCACCCTCGACTGGAGGGATAGCATCTAATCGTAGAACAACAAAGTAAAATTAATGAAATGCATAATTCAAAACATTTTTAGGGAAAATACACACACACAAAAAAATTTCAAGTTTAGAGGGCGGCAGTCGTCGTGCCGCGTCCTGTTCGATATGGGACTCATAGCGACGTATACAACGCGTGTAAAATACATTGTTTATTTACATGAAATTCGAACACGCGCTGCGTGATGACCACCGCGCTTTAACCTTACATATAATGTCACATACATACCCAGAAAATGCAATCACTATATCAAAACCATAGCATTGTCACTGCCTTAGCATTAGCATTTCCTCAGATTACTATACAATCTAACCAAAGGAAAAGCCGCGTTTCTAGTCTGTTCTATAGTTGTCTGAGATAATTCCAACCGTGACTCTAGGTAAACTCAGGTAGTTACATCAGTTATGCGCATGCTCAATTAACTTCTTACCTATCACTGACAAGGTCGCCTTCGACGTCCAAATAGTTGGTTGAACATTGTCTCCGACTAGACGGCATTGGTAGTCGTCAGCGTCGTCGTATTTGATATTTTCAATGTGTAATGCGTATTCATCGTTTTCTGGGTTACCGGTTATTGTGAATCTGTTAACAATATATGCAAATTCAAATTTAGTCCCAACAAAAAGGTTGACATGTTTCAAAAACAGTGCGGGGATTTTATTTTTTTGTTAATTTTTCTTCAAGTTGTGTTATCGCATTATTGAGAACTTTGGAAGTGACGCGCGCTAAACAGAAACAAATCTATGTTAAGCTTTATACATAAATTACGAAATATAAATAATATCAATTAATATATGGATATAAAGTTGACAGCTAGTTGGCTAATTTGACAATTTTATTCAATTTATCAGCTATTTGTAGATTCCACTCACGATTTAGATTATTTGCATTAATCATTCATTGCGGAGAGTAAACCCAACTTATGGATTTCGGGGAGTATGACAAATCATGACGGGTGGTATAATCATGAATTGGACACCAGCGACAACAGTCAATAATAAATCCATTTCATACCTGTCTTCATACGCCGCTAGTACCGTTCGTTCATAACTTATTTGCTTCGTTCCATCGCTTCTATACCATTGTACAACTCCGACTTTATTTGCAATGGTGCATTGAAGAGTGGCAGTGGAACTCACTTTTTGAAATTTCTTGTCAGTAGGGGTTACTGTTATTGCCTGAGCTGATGAAATATAGAAAAAAAAGAAGTCATAATCCAAATTTCTCGACAAAGTGCGACTTCAGTTTCATGACACAATCGATTGACATCATCGTTGACTTGCGCATGTGCACTTCAGATTCAATCTCATCAAAAGTGCTTACCAGTTACCACGCTCAGTTCTGCGGATGCCGAGACTTCGGGGTCAGAACCAGAAGCTGACACAGTGCACTGATATGTACCAGAATCGCTCGCTTTAGCATCGCTGACTTCAAGATTGTATTCCGTTCCTACGATGTTAGTTGTCACGGAGAACCGCCTCGAGCCGCCAATATTCATCGTATAGTCGGTGTTAAACTCTGTGGTTCCCTTCTTCCATATCATGGTTCCCAATTTATTGCTAATTGAACAATACAACGTCGTCGTGCCCCCTATGGCTATTTCTGTATCAATGGGAGGTATTGATATTGCTTGTTGTCCAAATACTGGTAAATGAAAACAAGAAAAAGAAAAGGAAGTTAGTATTATTTTACAGGGATTCCAGTAATTCTGTTCCAGGCATTGGAACACAAATGGGCTTACGCTAGCTCATGCTTAACCTTATATCAAGGGCAGTAAACAACCAATGTATTTAAAAATAACAATATTTTATACTATATCATATATAATATCCTATTGTATTGATGTTTAGCTATAAGCCTGAAACACAACTTACAAAAAATTCACTTACCACTGTGAAAAAGAAGAGCTGTAACTATGGATATCAATATTCTGCTATGCCCCATTTCCATCATCGCTTTGTATTTTTTATGAGAAGTTTCTATAAAATGAACAAATATAGACTATCACGATGACGTCATCCCAAGAATGCGGCAACTCACGCCATTAGGGCCATCATTTGTTTAATTCGCCTGTTCCAAAGCAGAAGTTCCAGCTGACTTTTAGCATGTTAATACAATGTACCAAACACTTAGTTACTTTAAAGAAATATACGCCAAATTACCATCACTAGTGTATGTGTGTAGTGTGGGTGTAATGTTGTTATGACAACATGAGCTCGAAAGAAGTTATTTGAACTATATGACCATGACAACGCGGAGTTCTTCCGTGCTCCCACCCATCTACGATAGTAACATAACACTGTAGTTTAAAGCGGGGGAGTCGTCACCCGCGCATGCGTCAGGTGGCCATAGCGTGTCATTGTTTACAAACAAACGTCTACCCATGAGCCTTTGCGTTTTAGCGTGCTTGGGACTTAATTCCCGTGCGTGGGCATGTGACGACCCTCCCGCTTTATGGCTGAGTATCAAAACACTATACAGTGTGGATTATACCTGCTATCGAGACATGAAATATACAAATACCGTAACACTGTAGGTGTACATTTCAGTACATGTAAAGTCAAGGCGAATGGTATTTGAGTGTATACATACTTTTTGTTCACAAAGCATTCCCCTAAAAAAATCTTACCGATGTTACGACTAATTAATTTTCACAAATTATGTTACATTGACTTCAGATATTGTTTTTTTCGATTTCCTTATATGAAGTGAGAATAATCTAAGCTCATTGTGGATGTATGTTTTATCAACATGTTGTCACATTGTACTTAAAATGTAAGTTTATGATGATGTGGTTATATTAAGAATATTTAACTCCGCCGTATTTTTAGCAAATTGAATATACAGTATAATGCTTCATTTCACGAGTCATTCAGTGTAAACATTGTCGGCATCTCTTGTATACGGCATACTATGAATATATCGTATAGATTTGATAGTATTGGTATGTATATTTATATAGACCGTACCCATATCATATACGTCGGATCAACAGGTTTCATGATAGCGCCATCTACGGCAAACCCTGACAGTTACTGTGGAGTGCAGTGATTATACGAGTCTGCTAACATGGTGCATTGCATCATACAAACCTATCAGATATGATGCTAAGTCGTTCAATATATTCATTACGAACTGTACAAACCGTGATGTCATTCAGGCAAACTGTGACGAATTCTGCGTTGGAACTCAACACTGGCTAAATGTTTGTCGTGCAATTACGTTTTTGGGGGTAAATCCACAAAACTCACCGGATTGTTTGCTTAAAAGTTCAAGATCTGTGTTTTTTGTGAACATATTTCTTGATTCATGTATTACTTTTGTGTGTTTTTAGATATACACGTGTTAAAATGTTAGAATACATATGATTATTTGCATGTAAACTACACTCTATTTACACCATGGCTGGGTCATGTGACGTGACATTAATTTTGACAGAGTTTACTAAATGTTCCCTGTAATTAAAAAAAACACGGATATACGTTATATGATGTCGCCACGGTAATCTTTGCATTCGTCATTCCACATTGAACGGAAGTGTTCGACAATAAGAATGAAACAGGGTGCATTCTACAGAATATTGTGAAATAAACGAAGTATTTTAATGCTATAGAAAATCGAAGGCGTTGACATTCACCGTGATGTGATCAGTGAGCCGTCTTGCCGCAAATGTTATCTTATAGTTGGCAGCTTATTCTCGCATAAACAATTTTTCACGAAAACGCGGCAAACAAGGCAGTTTCATCACTGGGCATCAGGAATGAAGTATCCTAAATTGGTGGCACTAGCAGACAGCGCTGTCTAGAATATTAAAAAGATTGATTTGTGCGCGCACTGATAAGATCATATAGAATAGACCAAATCTATACGGTGATATTATTCTTGCTGGGACAAACGAACCCTGGATGAACCGTGTATCGATCGATCGATTGTCAGAACCGAAGTGATGCATTATTAAGCTGCGATCAATTTAAAAAAAATCAAGAGGCATTTTTGGTAGACATGACGTCATAAATAACATATGGCCTCCCATAATGCACTGCGTGTGGCCATACGCTCCGGTGATTTTAGCGTGATCGCATTGTGACTGGCACTGAATATTAACTGCACATACGTTTACAGCGATACGTACAATGGACGCCATAGAACTAATCCAATTTAAGTCTTCTCGCGTATCCCCTCGTATAGTTAGCATGCATATATGTCGTCAACCCCAAGCATTCCCATGGCATTTGTTCTGGGATGTTTTTAGTGTGATAGAGTCGATAATGAATGCCTACGCAATGGCTGCCTTTATTCACATTTACCGACTTATACGTAATAGAATGGTGGTTAATAGTCTAAACATTTACACCTAATATAGTCACATTTGTGTTTTTCACACTTAGTATATTAGGACCGTATCTAGCCTTGAAATAGTATGAAACTTCTTCATTTTCTGGAACGTGCCCGCTTAATACTAGTATATCGTCTTATTTTTAAACAAGGTATGTTATGGCTTGTATCGCAAGCTAAATTCGATTTCAATATTTACGCCAAACCCGGAAGCATCCCGATGCATACATACAATATGGGGTCGACTATTAATTTATTACGGCTCAGTGACATTGTATTGTCGTACATTTTAAGGAGATTCGAACCGAATTGAATATAAAATGTAATTTTTTTCATAATTTAAAAAATATCTGACTTCATGGCGTGACGCAAATTTCGAGAAACCTGAAGCTCTGCTAAGATGTATGTTTACATCGCTCTGTTTGCATCAGTGTCTACGGTGAATGTATTTTAGCAAATCATGTCCAATGACATACTAGTATACTGAAAGGGTCATGTATTGCTATTGATACGAATCTAAATACTGATACAAGTATATCAAAAATGATAATGAGTTTCACATTCAAATGGATTTCTCTCTCATTACAGTTTGACATGATGTCCTCTGCGCGCGACACGCTATGTGGATGTGAAACATGAAAGTGTCGTATGTAAGTTACGTTTACTCATCTCGCAAGAAGCGTGTGTACATATATATTCATACAGATGATTGTTTTTCTGTGCATATTTAATTATTTTTAGGATGGTTGTCGCGATTTAAAAAAAAATAAAGGTCACCCACACAAAAAATAAAAACATATTTAAAAATGTTTCAACTGCAGCCAATTATACATGACATCTAAGGGGAGCGACGACATGTTGGAACGTATACTGAACGAATACAAATAAGGGAACGTGCCTTACATGGTGTACTTCAATCGTCATTTTTAATATGCTTCTGTGTTTTTTGAGGTGGTGATAATGTTTGGTGTTTATGATTGAGGTAACAAATTGGTTCGTGGATTCCACGTAACAGTGACTGAAACTTCTAGCTATTTAGTAATGCAATATTTGTCATTTGGACATGGACGTGTGTAATATTCCCCGAAAATAAAAAGTACCAGAGTGTGATTGATACAAGTGAACAAACACAAATTGTAAGAAACAAATAATTTCACGACGATTTTTGTAATTGTTTCATAACTTAATAATATAAATATTGGATCCGAAAAAAAAGACGAGAAATAATTTAATAATTTGCGACCGCTGATTGTAACGACCGCCGTAACGTTGCTAAGGTGATACACTGCAATAACCCATAATGTATAATAAAACTGTCTCTCTTTATTCTAGCTGATTGACACACGGGGTAATTGTATTGTATACGTTCTTTCCACCATCATTAAATCCGAATTTCCGATTCACACTTGAACGTGTATTGTTAAGATTGACAAATGTGAAAGTTGTATTCCAGACGGGCATGCATGCTAATGATATTGAAATAAGTTAATTATTTAATTAGTATCAAAGTTAATTGACAAGATAATTAATTCGCTTGATCACAGATGACAAGAGACGGTCAAGTGATTCAATGCATATATGAATATGTGTGATTTAAAAATGGCGTCACGGATCCCTCGGACGCTACATGTGTAAACTTTGAGTCCTGTCTCTGAGATCAAGACGAACGTCTACGGCTAGCTCTTTTTCGAGGTGATTACACGTTTTTGATAGATATCGGTTGATTTATGCCTCTTAAATGACGTTTATAGCAAGATCCCGATGCATATCGCGGCAACAATAGAGGTGATCAGTGTGACTCCACTGGATTATAAACCATTATAAGCACAAAACGGAGAGCTGTCGGGTAAACATTCACCCAACAACAGGATTTCTTGTTCTGAAATCACATCCGTTCTCAAAGACGTAAACTTACGCCTGCCCTGTAGATAAAATTACTTGATCCCATTATATTGCATGGTCTTACCTTTCCCGCTAAGTGAAATATGCTCCGATCTACTATACAGTTGCAGATCACGGTTCGATCACTTTCCCTCTGGGTGTGTTCAAATTTCGGGTGTTAACAACAACGCCGTGTGTACATTTCACCAGTACATCGTGTTACCAGAGTTGCTACATACGATTACGCTTATACGAAGTACGTACTGTCTATCGTAGACTTCGATAATCTTCACAGAACGGCGAAAGTCGATGATACTATGGCCGTATGACCACCCATAACACTGAGATCGTAGCAACCGTATCCAGGTAAAGTCAGTGTCTGAAGGAAGGAAGCCGATTTCGCGCATGCGTAAAGCATTCACGGAGGATTTCTCAATGTTCGTATTTGTTTAGGCTGTCAAAAGACCTTGAGTACAAGTCATTGACAATAACATCGAGAACGATTGCTCTGTTTCGTCGTTTCTCGGACCTATCTTAGAGACGAGTGTTTCGTGGAGATGA